AGCTCTTTGCACCGGCGCTCAGTGTCCGTGTATTCTGAGTTCCCGCCGTCTATAATGATATCTCCGGACTCCATGTGTGGCACCAATTGGGCGATAAAGTCATCTACAGCTGACCCGGCCTTCACTAATAGTATGACACGTCGGGGTCGCTTCAGTTTGGACACCATCTCCTTAATACTATGGGCGCCAACCACTGACTTGCCTTTGGCTTCATTGGCCAAGAAATCGTCCACTTTTGAGGTCGTCCTGTTGTACGCACACACCTAACGACACACATTTCAATCAAATTGTTTGCACCGGTATTTGATGACATATGTGTGGCTTATGACATACTAGTAAATCACTCATTCTTAGTTCATAGAATTGAGTATAGAATCTATACTATAGATTGTATTGAAATAATAATGCAATTAAAAATATATTAAATAAAAATCTGGTAAATGAATTACACATTAGTCTATTATTTTGACATGTTGAATAATGTGTAATTTACTTATTAAAAGTATTTATTGGATTACTGAACGTGCTATTCGGTGTAACTTGCTAGTAAAACTAAATGTTTAGAATATCAATGCAATTTTACGATTGCTATTTTCAATTTCTATATCATTCACTTATATTTGTATAAATATTTTAGTGCTTTATATCAATTCGTATGAGTCTTATATTATATGAGTTTTAAAGAGGCGATGAGTGGGGTATGTCTTGTAACCAATTGATCCGATCAATACATACAGTGAATCCATTGTCAGCCATATTCAGTATGAGATTCTGTCCCATAACTGCCAGACCAATGAGGGCTATGTCTGCTTCAGGCCTTCAATGATCATACATTTAGATATTATTAACAATAAGTATAATATTGAGATAATTATGACAAAAAAGTTTCATTTTTCCCATATTTTGCAATTCAGATAACGCTTTAAGGAAATAATTTCCAAATCTATACATTAAATGCATTTCTCTATTATTATAGCTATTGTGCAATAATAATGCATTTGTTTCTATACTTTCTATACCTGTTTTTAGACTTATATAATAATTGTAGTATAGCTATAATATAGTGAAACCGCATTTTTCGGGTCCACCCAACTGTAAGCCTTACAGTGCAAATGCACTAATTACAATGAGCAAGCACACTTCAAATTTAATGATATAGTGCATTACAAACAGTATTTAATACATTAGTCAAAGCATTCATAAGCAAAATATATTGTAGTCATAAATATATGGTTATAGGTTAACCTACTATTCAAATCACAATTGTACTCAATGTCTAACATTAGACTTATAGAGTATAACAAATTTAAATGCCTTTTAAACCGCATGTTATCATCAAATGAATGCATACTTTGTATCATTTACTCGTCAAATATTAATCTATAATAATTGCTTTAAACACATAAATTGCTATATATTTGTAATTTAATACATTTGTAATTAAATTAGCAAAACATTTGCAATGATTTGTCTCACATAACGGTAAACAATAAATTCATTGCAAACACACTGTATATGAAAGACGGTATAAATTATAGCAATTGAATGCAGAAATGAATGAAATGATTATGACTTACATTGTCTTCAATTAAGTAATTGTTATCCAATTCAGTGAACAGTCAGTCAATCAGTCAATCAGTGTCTGAGTGTTGAGTCTCACTTCAAATGCAACTCCACTTCAAACGTATGACGCAATCCATGACTACATCTATTGGACACACCATTCATCCAATCGTATGACTCGAGCACTGGTCCAGAGGCAGACCCACACCATCACCACTATTATGATCACATGAACAGTAGTTTGCAGTCAACTCAAGTGATCATCACTTTGCCAACCCTTGGTTCACACTATAATTCGTGCTTCAATTTGCACTAAATTAGCACTTTTGCACTGTTCAAGGTTATTTATACCGGTATTTAATAACTGCTTCAATAGTATTTACAGTAATTTAATAAATGCTATAATATAATAGTAATACTGTATCTATTATTCAATTCAATAATTTATACAATTATAACATTTACTAATATGAGAGCAAATAATATAAAGTTCTTAACTTATATTTGAGATAACTTTGAGAAACTAAATGTTAAATAAAATCAGTTGTTGTCATGTATTATAACTTATAATTTATAAGATATGCTGTATATTGAAACAATTAATTGCCCAATATTTGTCAAGTGATAACAAATAAACTAGAATAAGTTCTAACTATTTGATCATAAAAATCACCTGTATACTATACTATACTATAGTATTCGCTGTAGCCTTATACTCTTACAGTGCACGCTGTAAGCTCTGTAACATTTGAGCATGTTATATTAAACGCTCCATGTGTCAGTTGTAAAACTTAAATGTACTGTATATACAGTTAGTATTTGAAAAAATTAATTGCTTTTTAATAAATTATTTCAATAAAACTTGTCTTAATTTACATTTATTAGTCTTAAATAACTCTGTGTCGAGACAAATATGAATAGCATTTAAAGCACTTTTAATAATAGTTTGTTAGCCAAAGAGTGCAATGAATGGTCAATACATTCTGTCGCGATCCCTATCGGTGCCATTCGGCGAAATCCTGTTCCACATCCGATCGACGGGTTGTTGGAAATGGGGTTTCTCTTCGTGTAAGTCCTGCTCATTGGGTGACTCGTTATTCCACCCCCTTTTCCTCGAGTTCCTGAAATCCTTGTCTGAAGTGCCAGAATGTCTGAATGGTATGTCATTGTCCTCTCGACGCCATCGATCCATTGGTTCGTCTCTTCTCTTCTCCTCGAAGTCTCTTCGGTCGGCCCTATCATTAAAGCGAATGTCCTGTCGGTGACCATAAGGCCTGTCATCATAGGGTCTGTTGTCGAACTGCTCCTCATATTGTCTGTCGTGAGAGTGTCTCAAGTCTTCATCGAAATGATTCATGTGTTGAAACCTCTCGTCTGTGTCTCTGTTGAGTTGCTGTCGCGGAGACATCGGTCGGTCGATAGCGTTGTTTTGTCTGAGATTTTGGTTATGGATGTGATAGTTGTCGTGACGAATGTTGTGATCAGGTATTTGATGAGCACCTGGAGGTATCATAGGAGGCATAGGCGGGGGAGCCATTCGGGAGCCCATCATAAAGTTGGGCGGAATGTTCTGAGCGCTCGGGTGGCCCTGTATTGGCATTCCTGGCGGAGGAATAAAAGGTCTCGGATTGGGTCCAGAAGGAGGTGCAAATCGAGGCGGCATTAGATTCGGATTATTATTTGCAAAGTTTCGGTTCATATGTGGACCGCCCACCAGATTAGGAGGTGTTTGTGAGTCCGGTATATCTTTATTAGAGTTTCCACCAGATTTCGAGTCTCCATTCCATTGCTGTTGAAATTGTTTGGGAATGGGTTTAGCGTAGGGGACCTTCCGGTGCTGCTCTTTGGTCTCATCGTTCATTAATCCCAAACCGGGAATCGATGAGCCGTTCATTATCTCCTCCTCCTCTTCATATTCATTGTCTCCAAAACCCATCCCAGGAATGGATGGCGCGGTCACGACGTCGTCATATTCCGCTTCTTCGGAGCCTTTGGGCAGAAGATTCAGATTGTATTTGTCGCGCATCTTATCTCCGGGTCGGTTACGCGTCCAGAATTTGCTGCAATCATATGTCACATAAATGTACTGTTATTTTGGGCAAAATCATATGTCATATACCAGGTGTGATCATTAGATCCTGAGGTCAATATGTGTCCCAATGGGTGCCAATTCAAAGACCAGACAATAGAGTCGTGCGCGCTATCCATACCTCCCACTTCTTTCTCAGTGCTATTATCATATAATCTCAATCAACAATTTTATCAAATATCTAAAGTAAGATAACAAAAGCCGATTCCTTACCCGACTAACCAAAACAATATGGATCCGTCAGACCCTCCGCTCGCAAATAAGCTTTCGTGGATTGGATGCCATGAAAGACCTGTTTCGTAGAGTATTATTAGATCCTAAAGCAACAGATAATTGGCAAAAATCACTCACAACTCGCTTCCTTTTTATGTCCCCTAAATGTCTGCATTTCTGTGGACATATTTCTGATATCAAAGATTTTAATCAAATGGTCTCTCGAGGAGGTGAGCAGCCAATTGCCGTTTTGGTTCCATTTAATGTCTGTCACTGTGTTCTTGTGGGCGTGACTGTCATCAAATATCTCGGTAATCAATATATTTGCCTAAATATCGTTATATGAGTCAACTTACAGAGTGGCCAGACTTTGACCCGACTTGGGGTCCCATAATTTGACGGGTTGTTGACTATCTTTACTGCCGGAAGCAATCAATGACTTGTATGGGTGCCAATCGACACCTTTCACATCAGCGCCGTGTCCTCGAAGTATGCGCTCTTCGAAGCATCGCATGAAATCCCAAATCCTAATCGTGCCGTCGTCTGAACACGTGGCCAGCTTCGAGTCCGTCGGACAGAAACTATGTGAGAGTCACAGTCGGGAAAGGCATCAATTAGTTATGCTATTCAATCGGTTTGAGTTAGTCTTTGTTGACTTTATATCTCATTATTTTTCGTATATTTATTCAGTTCTTTTAGTTTTAGGGAATTCATAAAATTCTTATTTATTTCAATGCTTTGGGTTGGGAACTACTGTATACTGTAATATTAACTTTTAGTTAATCTATATATTAACTATTAATTTAAAAGATTTATGAGACAAACCGTCAAATAAGTTTTTCCAGTATTGAATGAAAGTTTGCAAATCATGATTTAGGTATATGATATACATTCAAAGATTCAAACAATTGTTCTAGGCACTGAATTATTTGTAAATTGATTTTTAAAGTTCAATAAAAAGTCGAGTGAGTAGAAAATGTCAAATTGATTATCAATTAACTTAAAATTTTTTTATATTATTCTAATTTATATACACTTTAATTGGTTTAATTCTAATTTTAATATTTTTAATTCTTATTAAATTCTTGTCAACTTTATCAAAATCTATCTATGTAATGTTTATTTGTAGTTTCCAATCATGTGTCAATTTATTAATATTTATTAACAAGTAAGAAACCAAATGCCATATCATTTATGATTCATTCATGGATTCATCCATTCATTGTCTATTCATTAACAAACATAAAATACAATTTATTGAATTTGTTGATAACTCCAAGACCTACTACAGTATATAATTGATGTGTAAACTTGGCAATAATTCTAATATTAATTCATGTTTTGTGAATCGTAAAAATAGTCTTAATTAAACCTTTTGACTATAAGCTGTGACTAAAACATTGCGTTCATACCATTCAAATTAAAATTATTATACAGAAGTGTAGTGTAAATTAAGTGATTAAGTTAAATTGATTGATTAGATGATGTTTTCGTAAATATAGCAAACCGTTTAAATTACAATTGATTTAATAAAAGATTTATTTATTTAACATTTAATTATAGTTTATACTATTAATTAACGAGCATTTTATTGAAAGTATATAATGATGGAAATAAAGTTAATAAAAGTCTAAAAGAATATAACTCTTGAATGACTGATGAAAACAATTTTATTAGAATTCATTGTAATATCACAATAATAGTGCAGAAAAGTTACACTTAATTGAGATTCATATGACTTTATTTGAGAAAAGTTTATCAAATGTTTAAACTTTATTTCGCATAGCATTGAAATAATTGTTTTGCAATTTATTGATTCAAATGATTGTGTGATTGAAAGAACGCTTTTATACGAATACAAGTCAACAAATACATCACCGGTGGTGAGGAGGGTGTGAGTGGTAAGTATGGGGGCTGTGGGGGCGCACCTGATTGCTCGGACGGGCTCTTTGTGTGCCTGAAACATCTTGACGTTATTCATATTGCTTTGCCAGTACTTAACATAACCGGTTTGGTCGGCCGTCACCATCCAGTGGTCGGATCGACTCCAGGCCATCACACGGACGGCGCTGTCGTGAGCCTGTAGTCACACATCAGACGCTCATTACAACACTACTCCGACCATCGGTTTCACAGTTCATATATAGACTAAAACACATTACTTGAAGGATAGTCTCGAAGTTGAAAGTGAGACCATTCCAGAGCGTGAACTCTCCACTGGAGGCGCCCGTCACCAGTCGGCGCCCTTCCGGCGTCCAAAGCACGCAGAATATGGGACAACGCATCTTATTGGTCGACGTCCTCACAAACTTCGTTGTGATGCAATTGGACGGGTTGTCCAACTGATTGAGTGGCGGAACCATCTGTCAAACAGTCAACCATTACAACCAACCATACAATCATTATTTCAAATGACATTTGCTTTTATCATTTAATTATCAAATCAATCAATCATTCAAACCTCAGTATAGTATCCCACGTCTGGATGCAGTGCCGGACAGTCTCTGTGGTCTCTCTGCCACACTCTGGACTCAAGCATTTTAGTGACCGACGAGTTATAGTCGACGGTCTTCCTGGCGATCGCTTTGCGAAGACGTTTGCCGTCAAACTCTGTCGCCTGATATACGGTGGGAACGGGAGGTCGCGGTTGGAATACGTAGAAACTGGTGGCAGACTTCTGGTACTTATGGTAGGGCGAGGACTGGGGGGTGGCGTGGGGTTGGCCTCCCGTATTGAACTGAGCCCTATATGGCGACGACATCGTCATTGTCTTCGCCATCCCTTCACTCCTTCAGATGACTTTCCGCTCAATATATTAGTCGTCAATTCAGTTATCAAACAGTTTTCAACAAAAATAAATACAATTTTTTGTACAATATATGGCTATATGTGTGACAAAAATATGCAAAATATATGCAAAATACGAGTCATTTATCATATAAATCAACAGTTAATTCAATACAAGTCTCTAACAAATGGTTACATTATTTATAAGAAATATGCAAATATCGAGTCAATGGACAAAACACTTCCACTTCTGGAGCACTACTTCAGATGAATTGAGTTCATTATTATAGCAATCATACGATTAAACAGTAATCGCAACATTGAAAGCCATTGTCATTGTAATCGCATTTCCATTCACTCATCACTACAACGACTCAATGACTGTACGAGTGATTCATTGATTCAATGAAGTGTCCGTTCGTTTCAATTACTTTTGATTGCAATTAACTGTAAATTCAATCAAAACACAAACCATTGCTTTCATTGAACGCCATATTCGCGTTGTTTTGTTCACGAGTTCGCAAACTTTGTACGCGTTTTGCGGCAATAAATCATTGAATGACAGAAATAGGGGGCAAACGCTCGCGCAATACAAATACCCTCTCAAAAGGTTCGCCTAACCATCACATGCTGTCACGTCATATGTGTTCGGGTCATACAACACACCAAATGCTGGCTAATGGGGGCATAAATACATCAATTAATAGATGACGTAATTTGTGAGAAGCAATGGGTTCTTGAGGCGAGTGATTGTCCGGTGAAACACTTGTGAGGCTAAGAGTGGTGTCTGAAGACAATACTTGACCACAACTACTGATTCTCAAGAGTTTACAAACCAATTGTTTTGTATTGAATCGAGTGATCAGTACAGAGATGGACACTGAAGAGGACAATAGGGGCTATCGTTGGGAAACGGAATACGAGAAGACATGGTTTGACATTAAGATAATGACTATTGATATGAATAACCGATTGACTGATGGGTTGACTGCTTAGGGAAGCGATCCGAGAGACAGAGGACGGGCTGATAGAGCCGGTGGTCAACGATCTCGTGAATAGAGCCAAACGGAAGCGAATGGCCGGACGCAAGAACTTAAGACTCGGAATGGTTTGTATCATTGGATTCATTGGATTCATTGGATTCACTTGTTCTCAAAGACTGCTTTTGAACGAATAGATGAGACACTTGTTTATAGTGGTGGACATGTCTTCGGCGATGACTCAAACCGATTTGAGACCAAATCGTCTGAAATGCACGACAAAAGTGTTGGAACTGTTTGTGAATGAATTCTTGGACGAGAACCCAATCAGTCATTTGGCGATTACTATGACTCGCAATAAAAGGGCCGAAAAGTTGACTGAATTGAGCGCTAATGTGAAGAGTCATTTGGACGCCATTCACAAGTTGTCTGAAACCCCCTGTTTGGGCGAACCCTCTCTTCAGAACGCATTGGAACTCGCGATGAAAACTCTTAAGTATTTGATTGTCACTGCGTTTTGTCCGTAAGATTATCTGTAATTGTGGTGATTGTGTGCAGACATATGCCGGCGCACACCAGCAAAGAAGTGCTGATCCTGATGGCCAGCCTAACCACCTGTGATCCCAATGACATCAACCAAACCATTGAAAGTCTTTGTCAGCAAAATATTCGCTGTTCTGTCATTGGTTTGGCCGCAGAGATCAGAATCTGTCGCTTCCTCGCGAAGAAGACAAAAGGCATTTATGACGTGGTTTTGGATGAATCCCATTACAAAGAGCTACTGTTCCAACACATGGACCCCCCGGCCTCCACACTCACCGAGTCATCACTCATGCGAATGGGATTCCCGACGTATATGAATGAGGGCCGCACTCACGCCTCTATGTGTGTCTGTCATCTCAACAATAATACAAACTTCAGTACTTCGGGATACCTGTGCCCTCAATGCCACTCAAAGTATTGCGAACTACCGGTTGAGTGTCAGGTGTGTGGTCTGACTCTCGTATCTCCCGCCCATTTGGCCCGTTCTTATCACCACTTATTTCCCGTCGATATGTATAAAGAGGTGACTCCTGAGGAGTCAATCAATGGTCAGTGTTATGGCTGTAACAAAGAGATGGTGTCCAACGGAGGCGCTCAATGCGAACAATGCCAACACATGTTTTGCATTGATTGTGATGTTTTCATTCACGAAACCCTTCACTTGTGTCCGGGTTGTGTCACAACTCAATAGTCCATTACATCATTACTACACTACTGTACAGAAACTGTCTTTTATTATTGCTATCAATAAATAAGTGAATTTTAAGTCATTTATAAATTAGTCTTTGATTCTGCACTCAAACGACGCGGGATTACATCCGTCATACTCTTTGAGCAACGGATTACTCAGGTCTCCAATGTCTTCATCTGAAGGTGTCTTATCATTGGGAGTGTCATCATCTGCGTAGACAATGGCTGGTTGTGTCGGTGGTCCGGAGTCGCGAACACAGGCACACCTGTACTGCTTCTTCTCGGTGACAAACAGCTGTCGGGGAACTCCCACCCAATCCCTGTCCTGACCACCACTGCCTCGACTGCACCAAACCCTCCCACTGTTGGTCACTCCACTCCATTCGGAATTACAATACGGAAAGACTTTCAACTCATCGTTTTGTTGCTCTTTTAAGTGATTGTTGAGTTGGATCTGCTGTCGGACCCAATGAAGTGATTGTGTTTCGCAACCGTTTGAGTCATAATAAGTTCCGATGAGTTTGCCGACTCTCTTGTAATCATTTTCATACAAATCAATCCACGTCTGGATGCCATCGAAACTTTGGATATCGAGTTCACTCAAGTCGTCGGTAAGACCCGATTCGGCGAAGTCTCCGGTTATGAACGCTTTGGAGGCGTCTTTGCCCGCGAAGAATGAGTAACTGCCACCAGGTTTGTAGTGTTGGGACCCTTTGGACACGTCGTATATGACCCCCAAAAAGGATAAATACAGTCCCAATGAGTCACCCGAACCGTCATATCTGGACAGTTGGCTTCGGCTCATCAGTACTTCTCCGCCCGACAAACAACTCTTCGTTGAATCCATTTTGTGATCGTTTGCCACAAATTCATTCAATTTCTCCAATAAAGTGTTGATTGCAGTGAAAGCATAGTTTGAATTGAAAATATCATACTTTGAAATGTTTGGGACAAATATGAACACAAGTGAACTTAATATAGCCATTAGTATCGATAACTTCACTAAAGTATTCATTATTTTGGGTTTGTTTGACAAATGCTTGACAAATGAAATGATTTAAATTAGTTATCAAATAATGCCATGTTTGCAAATCATTAATATTACAATTTAATTGACATTTCGTACAAATGTTACGAAACACTGGGCACTGACTACTGACTGACTGTCAGTGAAGTTTAAAAAACGTGTAAACTTGCACTCAAAGCGATTTAAACTTTCATAATGTTTGCTTGCATTCAGTGGTAAAAGGGTCACAAATACTATGCGTTTGACTCAACATTTAGCACCATTTGACTCAATGAATGGACGTATCATATGGTGATTAGTGTTTGCATTTTGTTTACAAACAAAACAACATTCAATTGGATTTACTGTACGATTGTTCGGCAAGTGTTTGACATTTACTGCAATCATATGTTTTTGTGTCTGCATTTTAGTTCAATCTAATGATCCTGGGTCACATCTACATTTAGTATCATTATGAATGAGATGACGGATCAGTTGGAAGTGATTGGCCACCAGAAGGTGGTGTCGATTGAAGATCTGCCAGAAGTGGTGTTTGAGTACATATTGTCTCAATTGTCTCCTTACAGACAACTCATTGATTGCAAATTAGTGTCCAAATCGTGGCGTTTATGTGTAATCGGTATTCAAACCATTCATCACTTTTTAGATCTAATTAATGATTGACTTTAAGTTTACGACAAAACAGATAATGTTTGAGGACTTGTTGTTAATGGCAGTCAATAATACAGACAATCACTTCTGTGTCTGTCTTATTGTGTCGTTGATGTCCAGTAAATTTAAATTCATTGATCATTCAATTACTATATCATATAATTGAACGATAACAGTAAACATACCTTGGTACATCTTTATTCCGAACAGAAACCATCAAGAAATTGAAACGAGATTTTGTGCACAATCTGAGCAATCAATTGATCCAATGGTCGCACTTCAGTCCCCAGAGCGGGCCCTCTATATCCCCGCGTTATTCTCACAGCGCGTGCTGTTTGGGTGACTCGATGTATGTCTTCGGCGGCTGTACGATAGCCAACACCACATTCAACGACTTGTGGCGCTTTGATCTGTCGACCAGGACGTGGATCAGACCCATAGCCACCGGCACTTTCCCGTCACCGAAGGCATGCGCTTCACTCGTCGATTACAACAACCATTTGGTTCTCTTCGGCGGTTGGACTCATTCCTCTCCGTATCCCATACACCAGGAGTGGAGGATTTTCAATCACATCCACCTCTTTGACACCATAACTGACAGATGGAGTCTAGTTGTTCCCAATTCTTACTGCCCGGCAATTGCTGGTCATTCAGCGAGTATTGTTGGGCACCATATGATAGTGTTTGGAGGCCTTCAGAGTGCGGCCAATAATCCGCTGCCGTTCTTCAGTTCCAATGATATATGGGTTTTGGATTTACAAGACTTTGTTTGGCACAAACAGTCGGCGTCTAATCCCAAACCATTTGCCAGATATGGACACTCGCAGGTCGTCATCGATGACAGACATATACTGATAATCGGTGGTTCCGGTGGACCTAATATGCTATTCAGCGATATTTGGATGCTTTGCATTCCAGAAGATAAGTCATTGGAATGGGTTTGGAAACCAATTGAAGTGATGAACAAAGACTCGACGACTGCACCACAAATCAGTTTCCATCCGACGTGTAAAGTGAGTCATTTGAAAGTCGCTTCGTTTGGTTTCATATACTGTAATGTCATTTGTGTCCTCAGGTCTCAAACCTATTGGTGGTGTTGAGCGCCAGTCAAAAGGCGCGATCCCTTCAATGCAAAGACGGAAACATTTTAAGAAAGCCTTCGGTTCGCAGTCAATACGTGAGCCCTAAAGACACTAATGACAAGAACGCGATGGCTGTCAATACCGAGTCTCAGGCGAGCAATGAAGTGCCGATCGCATCCACATCTGGCTGTTCTTCGCCCCAAACGAGTGGTGCCATAAATATGCGTCCTCTGAGTCGTCGCAACCGTCAGAGACAACTGGAAGGACTCGACCGAATGGAACAACGCATACGACAACTCAAAACTAATACCTTCTCTCCTCTTGCGGTCAGGAGTTCTACCGTTAAGTCGGACATAGAGGCGCCTCAGAATCCGATGCAGTTGTTTGTACTCGACTTAAGTCAAGTGATTGACAGGAATGTCGTCAAATGGATCCACAAAAGCAATTTCATAAGCGATGGTCCGGAAGAAGTGATTCTATACAGTCTGGTGGCCGGGAGGGCAGAGATCATTATGTTTGGCGGCCTTCAGAAGGATAAGAATATGAAACAAAACCAAACAGAGGGTGGAGTCAACGATATTCCAGATATCGTGTCAAATCATTTGCATATAATAACTGCCAAAAAATGTATCATTTAAATGAGATGTTTGTCGATCTCTATAGTACTGTATGTCTCGTCTATAAGTTCTCCAAATATGAGCAACGCTTACATTATTTTCGTTAAAATATAAAAATCAAATCAAATTATATTATAAAGTTAAAAGGATATACAGTATAAATTATTTTTTGAATTTATGATTTATTGTTTGTACAAATTATAAATTCATAATTATAAGCATCTGTTGTTTCATTAAATTTGTTTACAATTAAAATATTTGACGAAATCTTATTAATTATTGACTGAATATCGGTAACTAAAGAACACAATAATGTCATAAAAAGTATACATTTGAAAGTCTTTACACATTGGAAATGAAATTCAAATAACTATTAGAATTGAATAGAATTGAGTGGAGAAGACATAAGTGAAGACTAAACGGGAGATATGGTGACATTGATCCCCAGATTGCCATTATCTGCGAACAGTTGTGCGATATGTGTGTCGAACACAAGACAATCGCTTGTGTTGATAGCACTCTGAACGCCCTCATGTATGGATCGGGGGGTGGCCTCCCACGTGAGTCGCCTCCTGTGGCCATTGAGTTCGAGTCTGTAGATGAAACTGTCGGCCTGTTTATGGGAACCGATGAGTTGGACGACCGCAAAGAACTGCTGGTGTCCGTGAAATTTCTCCTGTTTTTCCAACACAAGCATAAAGTGATGCGAATAACACGACTGAATCATCACCCAATCCACAGCTCCCGACAGGTTTATGTCAGTGGCCAGGAATACGATGTCTTCCCCCTGAAGGGTCGTTATGCTCTTGTGTTGATGCATCAAATGCTGCATTACTTGCTCCAGAGGGCCATACCATTTACAACTGCTCCCTATCAGTGCAATCAATCATTCAGTCACTCATTATGTATACAATATCTCAGACACACTGTTAGCACCCATTACTCAAACATTGCATAACATTAACACTAATATGAAATGTGGGCCAAAGACTCATCATTTGTTAGTCACTAAACTTAAGTGAAAGCAATCTTTTATGTAAATCATTGCTTGCACTCAACTATTATGCACTCCTATACCGTATTCACCCTATTTATGGTCATCTTTTCACTTTGTAATTGAGGCTTAAAACAGCAATTGATTCATAGATTAATTGAAATAAAACTTAAATTATAATAATCGCACGAATTATAAGAAATGGTTAGTAATGAGAATGGATGCCAAATATGGCACATATGGTGAGCGTGTGATGCAATGGCAATGGCATTAGGTTTGACACAAAGACATGACACTCATGATGACATACCAGGACAGGGACACGAATAGGGTTTGTATTCACAGGCGTCCTCGTGGTCGGGCTTATCGGTGTAGAGTAGTTGAGCGCCACATCCGGACTGGGAGTACTTGCAGGGGAACATCATAGTGGACGCCAACTTCTCCATCGGCAGGTTCCGGATGTTGGAGCCGATGGCCACTCGACAGGTGGGACAACACGTGATCTTCTGACGGCACGACTGGCACACGAGGTGTCCGTTTTGACACTGGAGTATAGGGGGCAACACGTAATCGAAACAAACGGGACACTCAAACAGCGCCGTCAGCTCAGAGTTTGTGGTCGTGTTGTTGTGACCCAATTGGTGACCACTGGTCGACGCACTCAACGCCACACCACTGGCCGACCCCTGACCCTCACTGGCCGACGGGTTTATGGCTGCCGTCGGACTGATCCGCTTCTTGGCTGAGGCCGACAGCAGCCCTTGACTGCCAGACACGGATCCACTCGAAGACTCCATTCTACTCAACCATCAAATGATAACAATTATCTATCATATGACCAAAACATACACGAGAAGTATGGTCACTGGGATTGCACTCAACACTACACAGTGTTGTGTCAATTGGCTCTATATATGAGTCCAATGAATACCAAACAATCCTTCGTCAACACAAATGGACTCTAATTATGACTAAACTATAGCTAAATTGCAATTAAATGGCTTTCAATGAATACATTTCGATGACAATCACTGCGAGTGAAAGGTATGACAAACACTGAAACACTCATTCATATAAACAAAATGAAATTCATTCGTATACACAGTTACTATAGGGGGCGACAACTCAACAAACCCTTCACTCATTTTGATTGTCTTTATGAAACGATTGGTTAATTTGTGTGGAAAGTCACGCTATATATGAATGATTGCCTGCAGAGGGAGTGATCAGTGAATAGGTTTTGCTTCAGAGACTGATTTGTGGCCAAAGAGTTGTCATGGCTTTGGATATAAGACTGAAGAGAGTGAACAAAATCTATAGCGAAGGCGTGAGTATTGTCTCAATGTTTTGGCCCTTGGATTGAGTGTCATGTCATATGTGTGACCATAGGATGACTTGTCAGGAGTGGTAGTCTTTGAGAGCAGGTCTGAGGCCAAGCACGAGGGCATCGTATTGTCCATCGAAGGCACTGTCAATATGCAGCTCAGCTCCAAGAATGTGGGCATCTTTGAGGCCTTCTATAACTCAGTCAAAGTAATGGCAAACTTATCACATCTCTTGTAATCACACGCTATCTCTGCCCTAAAGCCGGTCCCTCTCATCAGCTATGGCGTGGAGATCGCAAGAAGTGGTAAATTACCGGTCGGTAAGACTGAGATCCCATTTGAGATGCCCTTAAGACCCAAGACTAACCGATGTCTGTATGAGACATATCACGGAGTCTTCATCACTATTCAGGTCTGAAAATCACCGCCACTTTACTCACGAGTGAACCTCACGTCTCAATTGTCTTACTATTCAGTACTTAATTAAATGTGAAGTCAAGCGACCGATGCTTAACAAAGACTTGCAAAAAGTGGTTGAGTTTATTGTGGAGTATCGCAAACCACCCGAACTAAAGCCATTGATCGACAAGTCGGTCCACTTCTTAATAACACCGGAATCGCTTCAAAATGTCAAAGATGTAAGATTTGAATGATTTGAATGCAACCATAAGTTTGATTTGAATTTATTTGCAACAACTGTTGGACACAAAGCGCTCGAAAATCCCTAAATTCCGAATCAGCGGTCAATTGGAGTCAACGGTCTGTAAGATAACGGAACCGTTCACTGGAGAGCTATGTGTTGAACAGTGCGATGCAGTCATCAGGAGTATTGAACTTCAGTTGGTCCGCGTCGAGACCTGTGGATGTGCTGAAGGATATGCTCGCGATGGTAGGTATTACAGCAATAGGCATTCATTTGTGTATTGGTGTTGATTTGATTGCCATTATAATTATATTCTAATTGATTTACTTTGAATGGAAAGCCACTGAAATTCAGAACATACAGATAGGGGAGGGAAATGTGTGTCGAGGAGTGGTTATTCCGATTTATATGATATTTCCTCGACTATTCACATGTCCATCGCTCACAACAAATAACTTTAAAATTGGTAACAAATATAATGTTTTTATATGAAATGAATCACTAATTGACATATTTTACAGAATTTGAAGTGAATGTTGTCATTATATTGGAAAACAATCACTTAATTACCGAAAATTTTCCCATCAAAATGATTCGTTATTCTAATGAGTAGAATGCTTTTAATTTGTATATAAATTATTTGTAATTTTAATATAATAAATAAAACATAAATTTAAAATTGTGTTATAATACTATTTAATTCCTAAACATAAAAATATATGAAAGATTTATACAGTATACATTACTGTACTTACAGTATGATGTCTGAGAATGAATGTATAATGAGCTAACAGTAAGCTTATTCACTCGCTGATTCAAAACTGGTCTAAAATGAACCCTATTTTTATTTCTTATATAATATAGCAAGCATTTTGTAGTATTTTTGTTAGTCTACTGTAGTAAAATTAATGTTTTGCTGAAAAATACAATATGCTACTTTTTTATATGAATAATTACCGTAAAATTGCTTTTAATAGTAATAATAAATATTAAACCTGCTGTTAATATTGTTTCAGATTAAAACTTATCGTACTGTATTATTAAAATATGCTATCACCATCTAAAAATTGATGGGAATATTTGACTGGTTTTTAAAAATAAAATGAGTATAAAGTTTGTATTAAGCAGAAGCGTTAATAGTTTATTAAAACAATTTTTGTTTTAACATATAATACTGATAAAATTAATTCATAATATAATATATCCTTTGATGAATCCATCAACACATTAATATTTATACTTAACTTACTATGTTTAATAGTACAACACTTTATATGCACAACTATAGATTTGATTACGGAAATATTTAAAAATTATATAAGACTAATGCTATAAAAACTTTTTGTTTGTGGAAAAATGAAAGTAATGTGAAATTTTAAAATGAGCTAGAAAAATAAAAGCTTGAATACAAAATTACAGTAATAAGAATTTTCCATAAGTCTTATAAAAAGTTAATTCTTTCTATTTTTTAAAAATAAAGAACTGTTACAAATAATTATAGCATTAATTATTACAAGTAGTTATACAATTTAAAAGCTAATTTATTTAAGCTTATAAAATTTAAGACTAAATATGTACGAATTGGCTAAAGTATTATAAAATCCTCTAATAATTTTCAAATGCTTTTGCAATTAAAAAAGAAAATATAAAAGCCATAGAATAAGGAATAGCCTCATAGGAAGTCATACAGTATTTATGCTAAATAAAGATCTGTTTGTTTATTTTAAACAATTTTGCTCACATTTGCTGCAAACCCAGAGTTAAGATACCATATCTTACAAGACTTGGTAGACAGATTGAGAGAGAACACGAGATAAAAACTTCCGAAAATCAATCCCAATCAATCCCACACCACAAAGCCAGCTGTGATTGTAAGAGTAGTTAAGATGGCTATAAAGCTATGTTTAAAGTATATGTTCATTTTTATCATTTCAATATAGTTACCAACTATACTGGAAAAATGAATAAAAATATCATTTTCTTTATTTTAATGATATTTATTGTCACAAACATTAATGCAAAAAAGGTATGATTTTTAATTAGTAAGAACATAATTAAACACTAAATTAATTCTCTTTTAATTCAATTATAGCACAGAAAACAACCTAAAAGTCAAACAACTGAAGAAACAAATGCCGTTTTAGTCAGTACTGAAACAGCTAATGAAGTCAAACAAGGTATGGATTGTTCAAAATATTATTTACTATACTGTATTATCCAGGGCTTAGTATAACTAACATTACTGTAATAAGCGCTGTATGCTTTAATTTATAATTTCGAAAGCAGTTTTAATAACAAGCTCTTTATTGAATAAGATTCATTTGTATGATCTAATCGCTTGATTCCAGATTTTTATTTATGGATAATAAATGTTATTTGCAGATATTTATCCTCATTAATACATTTTAATATTTTAAAATCTTATAGAACTAAGCTTATACCTATAGTGTCATAAAATTTATTCTTAAACAAGTTGTAACATCCTATAAATCAAAAATTCAATTAATAATTTTTCAATAGTCAAATGAGTTTTACTAAGATTATTTGTTTTGTTAATTAGAATTTACATATTATATTTGAATTTGCATTCAGATCCATGTATTAAAATGAAATGCGGGTCCGGAAAGGAATGTATCATCGAAACGGAGACAGGAGCTGCTAAATGCCAATGCATCAGGTACAATCATATTACATACAGAAAACATTACAATAATTTTTTGGAGAGAGAGAGAGAGAGAGAGAGAGAGAGAGAGAGAGAGTATTCTGTATTTCCGTATCTTACAGTGGTTTTTTGATTTACAAACAACTGTTTATAGAAACTATACCAAATATTACAAATACGGTACAGTATTATCGTTAATGTTAAAAACTTGGCTTTTATTCAAGTATACCGTAGTTCTGTATATTAGGAGTGTTTATATAAATACAGTATAATGTAAATAATGAATAATTATATGACAGCGCCTGTGCTGATAATACGGATGTCCGTCGGCGTGTCTGTTCCAACCACAACACAACCTGGCAGTCAGACTGTCATCTATTCAAACACCGGTGCACTTGTCTCGAAGGTATTGTACTTTTTATTGACAAATTATAGTATTCTTTAATTATTAGAAATAAATTAAATATATTAATAGCACAATACAAGTTTCTTTAAGTTTCATAATACTTGACAAGTTTCACGCATAATATACCATATATTACAGTATGTTCCTAAAGATTTGTTTTTTTACATTGAATTAGCTTTCAGTTGAAATGTACCGTAATATCTCGTCAATTTAAAATGAGTAGTTAAAATTTGTACTAATTATTATCATAAGTACCTAGCATAAGTATCATGCTGTACCTAGCAATGTTTATTTATTTAGTATCTAGCTAGTATTTATTTAGTTATACATTAGTCAAATTGATTTGTAGAGCTGGTGAACGATTAGTTTTATAGTTCTCTAAGTAAAGTACTTATATTATATTTCATTTATCATTCTTATAGTAATCTTAACGAATATAAATTTATAATACGTGTAATGACAGGTCAATCCAGTGATTGTACTGAAGAGCACCGACACATGCATATTGATTACTACGGCGAATGTCAACAACTGCCTGA